AGATAATGGTTGCACCTGGCTTGGATATTTTCCTCCCTCTTCTCTTCTGACTTTTATGGCAGGGACAAGCAAGCGGGGCTTCAATTAATCATTCTTAAATTTTAACTTGTCAACTATGCATCACTATTCTACATTTTAATTATGCTTTGATTTCTAGCTTACGCAGATCCTGACACAGAGCAGATGGAATTGTCTAACCTACCATAACTGTTCTCAAAAAGCTAAGTGGGATTGGATGTGGTTAGTACTTTGATGGGAGATAAACTCTAGAGCTGCAGGCTAGGCTAGAAAGTAAAAAATATATAATTTTGAAAGAAATAGCTACTTTCAAATTGTTGTTGCCACAAATACATGTGTCAATGTGGTCATTAGGAACTGAGTTGTACTTGTGTTTTGAATATGTTTAAATTTTCCATTCTGAGTTTTTCTCTCTTCTCAGGATTATCAAACTTGGCTTGACCTTCGGGAGTTTGAAACTCGCATTGGAGAGCGCTACATTACCCATGAGAGTGATGATGCTCGCTGGGAAGAACATGCATATGAGCACAATCTTGTATATCCCAAACATTTCATTATGGCTCCCAATCCAGATGATATGGAGGAAGATCCATAATTCATTGGGAAAAGCATTTTAACTAAGTTCTGATACTTTGGAGCAACTGATGCTTTTGCTCTTCAGATGATTCAGTCTCCAAAGCCATGAAGGCAAGATCCTGCATCACATTGTGGATGGACATCTGGGAAGCATCTTTATCTTTCTAGTTTCTATGATTATGAATGTGATCCAGCACTGAGTTAAAAGCCATGAAGTATTTGTGTAATATTGCCTTATTGGTACATCACAGTGATGTTACTGACAGCTTATGTACACAGAGACTTGATGTATGTGAATTTTCTGAGGTTTTTTTTTTTTGTAATTTACACCGTTTTTAATGGTTTTCTAGTTCTTATCTATTTAGGCAAAGATACTATTTTCTGGTATTTAGATAACATTTATTAGGAAGCTGTAAAGAACCATAAGCATATATGCCGTGACCAAAAACTAGAAGTGTGCAAAACTTTTCATTTTGAAATGTCTTGAGTGCAAAATTTCATAAACTTTGCAAACATCCTGTTTCAAATGCAAAGTTACTGTTTTGAACGGGAAACAGATAGTTTTGAGAGTTTTGGAAGTGTTTTGAGCAGTTTTGTGCTGTTTGAAAAAACCTTTTGCATGCCTCTCCCAAAAACACTTGATTTTAAAAGGCCCTTTTAACTGATTACTTGCAAGTGAACTGCATATACTTGGAAAAGCTGTAAAAACGATGGGAACCAATAATGCTGTTTGAGATGATTCAAGATTTGACCGTGGAGGCGTATAATTTAATTAAACAGTCTGTTAAGCTATGGGATTTTTTTTTCATCCTAGTGTTTTTCCTGTAGGTGCAGGGTCTTTTTTTCAGATCAACCAAACATTGATCCATTGGTTGCGACAGGAATTAACTTGTTAATTAATCTGTTAAGTTATGGAAATGCAGAATAGTAAAAGTACCTGAATACAGTACACACTGTACATGTTACTGCAAGTGCAACAGTAGCTTAAATTGAAGTTCCGACAATGTGTTCTCATCTCTGCATATAGCTTTTTTGAATTGCGAGATTCATGGGCCAGTTTATTACCCAGGCACTCCAAAAGAAAAATGCTTTTGTTACTTTTCCACCTTTCTAGTTTTTAACTTTTCAGCAGGTTTGTAGATACTTTCTGAGTGCAATTCTCTAAAAAATTAGATGCTAGAAGAGTAAAATAGATAATTGAAGAATCAATTATGAGAAAGCTTCAGCAGAACATAATGCAATTATTTAATTTGAAAAGAATATTTTCCTTTTAATATTGTTTTATATTGGTTCATCTGTTAGCCAAACACTCTTAGTTTCAGTTGCAGTGTTTCTGTAATAACCAATTTCAGATTGTTTATAATTTACGAACCTCTTTTTCAGGATGATGGAAAGTAAAATGGAGAAAATTGTATCCTCATCAATTTATTGTATCCTCATCAGTATTAACAGCCAGAATGATTTCATACCAAATGAAAAATAGTGTTTTATTTATATTTATGAATAAAGTGATCACTTCCGTATCACTTAATTAGCAATGGAAAATTTGAAGGGCTGTACTGAGAAACACTGAGATGTTAAGAAGTCACAAGGTAAAGTTTTCATGAGTTGAACTTGATTTCTATGGACTACATGGACACATCCATATTTTCTTTGGGCAACAATATGGAAGTGGGTTGTCACTGCATTCTAATGAGAGTTCTTTGACTTGCTAGTCTGGTCTACAGTGCTTGAATTTCCTGGTGATCTCTTAAGTACCAATCAGGTCCAATCTTCAGCTTTTCTGATGAGCTAAAGCCAGCTAGATGCTGCCACTTGCTGCACTTGTGGCATTTTAAACTACAAATTCTATTTTGTGTGGTTATTATTAGATTTTGCTTTCATAAAGTGGGAATTATGTATATGTGAATATATCTCCTTCAGGTTTTTGTTTTTTTTTTAAACTGTAGTATATGCCCTATATATCATCCCTTCGAGGTAAGCCAGATCAAGAAACACTGTTCAAGAATGCCTGGAACTCTGCTTCATTGATACAGGCTATAGTGACAGAATCTTGAAAGCCTGCATTTTCCCTTCCCTTCATCTTATATTCCAGGGAGGTAAGGAGGAGCCTGTTTCTAATGTTTTCTTCACTTCACAGGTTGAAAACATATTTTTGTAACTGTTGCTGCAGTGTTTCTCCAAGATCATCTCTCAGGCCCTCTACTATATATTTCAGATAGGGGAGTCAGGACTTTATGGTCTGGTATATGAGGATTTTCATATAGATAGTCCTGTACTGTTAAGGAAGTGTTGGTCAAACACACTGCTGCGTGGGGGCCTGTTGATTTAACAGATCTTGAGAGAGAACTGTGTCTCTGCAGTTCTTCATCTTCACTGTATTGGTTTGATACAGTACTAGTTAATTCTTAATTTGAAATCTTAAACACAAATTATCATGAACCCCCCCATATTTACACAAGTGAAAACTCTTATTGCATATGTTAAAGCACCATTTATATGAATAAGCTGACCTATATGATTAATACTTTATGTTGAAATGAACTGACCATAAGGAACCAGTATTTTGGCAGCAGCTCAATCACAGACGTAATAGGAAAACTGAATTTAATAATTTATAGAATTATATTAAAATGATTAAAGAATTCTATTAAAGTGATTACTGCTTGCAGCCATTTATCCCTCATGAGTGCTGATAATTTCCAACTAAAGATTATAAAATTTAACATTATTACACTGAATTAAACTTAGCAAAGGAACTTCTTTCACCCATACAAATAGTACATCTGTTTAGAAAAGCAACAGCCAAGTCTAGATGAAAAAAATTACTGTTGGTTCCAAAATGGTAATTGGGATTATCCTTACTGCTAGAATATCAAGTTATCAGTACACTTATTCAGAATTAAATATAGAAAAACATATTTCTCTTTTCTAGCTAATGAACTAATTATAATTTGTCAACTGCTACTACCTTTGCCACACTAGATGTTAGAATCAGTGCTGGAAAAATGTCCACCACAGAGATGGAAATGATAAATACGACTTGGTGCGTGCAGTGTCTGAAAGCAAATATTCAAAAATACTTCTAGACATGCTGGAAGTTGATTTGGAATACAAACTATTCTCTTAGACTGAATATGTTCTGAGCAAGCTAAATCACAGCTTAATCTCTACCAGAACTGAAAGTATCCGTTTTTCCCTTTTTTATAAACTTATGCCAAAAGAGAATCATAGATGTTCCCAGTGGTATTCATTAATAGGGCTATTATATATAAATCCTTAGAAATATATCCCACTGAGTTCAATGGGACTTACTTCCAAGTGAGTATGCATAGAGTGCTGAGTAGGTATAATTTAAATAGTTGTAAGCCACTTCTAGAAAATGCATTGTACTTCATGTTAGGCCTCTTAGGTTAATCTTTTGTTTCAGGATAATAATGTTATATAGCAGTAGAACAAGAATACAAATGTTATTGGGGCCAAAGAAAAAAATAACTGGAATGTTTCTACTCTTTAATAGCTGTTACACATACTCTACAACAATAAAATTGCATAGCTAGGATTCTTAAACTATTCCTTTGAATGTCTAAAATACATCAAAGCTTTAAATCACTGAAAATTGGCATTCATTGTTCCAGATGAATTTGTACCCAGTATTGTATTAGCATTAATTTTTTTGAAATAAGTTGCATTCATTGAAAAAATAGTGCTGTACTGATTCTAGAAGATACTTTAGTAAAACCTATAGCCTCAAAAGACACTGTCAAGTACTTTTTATATTTTTATATAGCCCATTGTTTGTAAATATCCTCTAAGCTTGAAATAAATTTTATTTCTTTACTGTGTTTTTTTCCATTGTCATATCCATAAAAAGGCTCTTGCTCGAAGAGATCTATAGAAATATATTGTACTACAATGCTTAGCATTACAGTATTGTCTAGCTAGTTCAAATGTTATGTAAAATTTGTCCAGGTTCTACATCTTTCCTTAAGCTTGCTAAAATGCACTATTGCAGTGAAAGAAGAGACAACAGCCAATGTTTTTTGTGATATTCTTGGCAATAGTTTGTAGCAAACTTGAACTGCAATCTTTTGAACAGCCTCTGTTTATCCAAGTCATGTTGGATATTTTATTATTATAAGCATGATATAATAGTTGTGGAATTTAGGAAGGATTCCTCAGAAATTAGGACAGGCTGCTCATGTTCAAAGAGCAAGAATGAGCCATTGCTTATACTGTTTTCTGTCCTATGGAAATGAATTACACACCAGAAGCACATTAAGCATTTATTACATCAAATCAGAACACAGAGTTGCTACTTACACATGAAAAGGAGCTGGTACTGTTACTCAATTTGTACTAGCGCTTTTTTTCCTGCAGACAATCTATTTGCTAGTAGGTGTCTGTTCCATATACCAGAGTAGAATTTCCATCACTTAAGCAATGTGGTTGTAAAGTGCGACTGCATCGCTTAGTGAGAGCAATCCCTGCAGTCCCAGTTGCCGCTGTTAACCAAATCCCATGGTTAGGCGAGGCAACTTCCTGCCAGCTTCCCACAACCAAAGTCAGTTGGCAGGAAGTTGCAAGTCCCAGGCTGGCAGGCAGGCAAGTGGCTGCTGCTGGATGGGGGAGAGAGTGAGGGGGTGCGTGAGAGGTGTGGGTTGGGGAAGGTGCATGGGGCATGCAAGAGGGGTGGTGTGGGTTGGGGAAGGTGTGCAGGGTGCATAAGAGGCGTGGGTTGGGGAGGGTGCGTGAGGGTGTGTGCAAGAGGAGTGGTGTGGGTCATGGTGAGAGGTTTGGGGAGGGTATGAGGGTGTGTGCGAGAGGTGTGCAGGTCGGGGAGGGGTGCACAAGGGTGTATGCAAGAGGGTGCACAAGAGGCATGGGTTGGGAGGATGCACGAGATGCACAGCATAGGTGTGAGCTGTGGCATGGGTTGGGGAGGTTGTGTGAGGGTATGCATGAGGCAGGGGTTGGGTGCGCAGAGGTGCAAGTGGCCAGCATGGTGCGAGTGCAGAGGGAATGGGGGAGGGTGCACAGGTGGGGGAAACTTACCCCAGTGACGTGAACTTCCCTGCTGACTTCCCCATTGACTTGTGGGGAAACTAACAGAGAAGGTTGCAAATGGTGATCATGTGATTGCGAGGCACTGCAACTGGCTGTAAGTGCAAACCGGCTGCCAAGCACCCAGATCACGGGGGTGCTGGGATGGCCAGAACTCTGAGGACTGGTTGTAACCACCATTCGTTCAGCGCCATCCTAACTTCGAATGGTTGCTGAACGAATGGTCTAGGTCGAGGACTATCTGTACTGTTATTTGCATCACCATAAGAACTGGCAGTAAAATTACTTATCATACAAACTTGGAAATTCTCAGTGGGGGATAAAAGAGCGAACTTTAATTATGAAACACTTTCACAGTATTGTGCCAACTTGCATTTTTTCCACCTAAAACTCCCCCCCCTTCAGCAGCACTTTTTTGTTTTTAATTTTACCAGATCAATAATTCCCTATGTTGGCTATATGTTACAGGGGTATGATTGAAGTCTTCCATAGTTAATGTAACTTAACTGTCTTCCTGACAGACTATTAGGAGAATCTAGATTACCATAGTACATATTCTGATTTGGGGTTCATTTCCATAAAAGTTCTCCAAAGCCAGCAACAGGTGATGAAAGTGAGTGATCTGGCTTCCTTAAATGATCTGAAGTCTTAAGTCTGTAGTGAGGTAAAAGGGCAAAAAAATAAAAACATTCTCCCATTTTATCCATGAGCATTTGATAACCTTGAAGCAGATGACTTCGAGTGACTGCATCATCAGCATTCTGCAGTAGTACCTACATTAAAAAAAAAAAGATTACTTTTCCATCCCAAAATTCACTCCTTTCCTTCCCAATCTGTATATACCATGAAGTTTTAGGTATCAGTTCTGTCTGTTGAGCAAAGATGCAAGAGTCAAAAGCAATGATTTAAAAAGCCTTCCTAAACACAAGAACAGATATGGTGGTTAAGATGCTGGATTAGAACCATGGAAACCCAGCTTCAGTCCACCTTCAGCCATGGAAACCCACAGGCTGCCACTCTCAGTCAACTTACCTCACAGGGTTGCTGTTGTGGGGATAAAATGAAAGGGGATCCCTATGTAAGTTGCCTTGAGCTCTTGAAGAAAGTAGGATATAAATCTAATGAATAAATTAATTACAGAATTATTAAAGTAGCCCTTACCTGCAATCTAACATCAATGCCCATATTTTTCAAGAATTCCTTTTGCTTTAAAGGTCCCAAAGTGGCTACTCTTTTCTGTACCATTCTTTGCAAGTAACTGAAATCCACATCAGCAGTGAGGTCTGCTGTTCCTGGTGATAGTAACACATCATGAAGTTTATGACCACGGAATCCCTGAAAATAATAGAAAATAAAATGTAAAACAGACAAGCACACCTGTGTACCCTGTTAGGTTGTGGATGGTCAATTTTATTTGTTTTTGAAAGTGAGAACCCTGATTATTTGCTACCCTATTTATCAGGGAATTAGAATTCTTGCATAGTTTCTTTTTTAAAAGAATGAATTATTTTCCAGACTTTGTTAAACGATTACATATAACAAAGACAAAATTACTCAACTCCTATTTTGGTTCAGTATTCTCTAAAAAGGAAGCCATCTCTGGCCAATTGTGAAGAACTGGAATTTAGCTTGAACTGATGAAACCTGAAATAATGTGAATTACTTCAAATATTTAGGGCCAGGTGGATTGCATCCTAGGATATTAAAGAAACTTGCTGATGGTCTTATGACATTTTAATTAATTATATTTGAAAAGTCCTGGAGAATGATGAAGTAGCAGATAACAGAAGAGATAAACGCCCTTCTTCAAAAAGGGGGAAGAAGAGTATCTATGGAAATACAGACCAGCCAGTCTGCTTTGACCTGGGAAGATATAAAATAAACTGCAAGTGATTGCTAGGTAAGTGCTTAGAAATGCACAATGCTCAGAAGTCACTATGGATTTGGTAGTAACAAATCTTAGCAGACTAATCTTATTTCATTTTCTGACTAGTAACTTCTTATCCTTGCTGTGGATGAAGTATATCTTGATTTCAGCAAAGCATCTGGCTACCCTTGATGTTCTTTAACAGCAGCCTAATATGTCTGTCTTGATGGCATGTCTATAAAATGAATCTATAGCTGGCTCAACAATCATACTCCAAGAAACTAATCAGTGCTTCTTCATAATGAGCGAAGTGTCAGGAAGCCCAAACTAGCAGGTAGCTCTTCAGAGACTTGGATGAATACAGGTACAAACTAAAACTTCACCGGCATACTGGAATAGCAGCCATAAAATACAGCTGACAGTCCCTGAAAGAGCTACAGAATTTATACCCAATCATACTTCAAATCCTGCATGCTCTTATAGAGTGTGAGGTCTTAGACTTGCTTTTTCCACACACTCTGGCCTGTCCATTGGAGACAAATGTTTACATTTTCTCCATTCCTGCTTTCCTTCTAGATAGCTGTCACAGGCTGGACTGGGAAACTTTACAGTCAGAGCCCTGACATCAGGTTTTTAAAATTTATACATACATACATACATACATACATACATACATACATACATACATACATACATTCAATTTATTCTCCGCCCATCTCCCCCCAAGGGGGAACTCTGGGTGGCTC